GATGCTTTCGATTTCGATTGCATGCTATTCCCGAGTCTGAAATTTCCGTTTGATTCGTCGGATCTCTTACGCTTAGAGTTTCGGGAAATTTTCGATTAATATTGGAAATTTTGAATTCGATTTCGTGTTAGGTACACCTATTTCGATGAAATTCTTGTTATTGAGTATTCGGAATTGGAGTTAAACTCTCGTTTCTTCAATGAACAGTTTGATCCATATTGTGATTTCAAAGCATTGGGGAGGCTCGATGCTCCTTGGGTTTGTTATGTCAATCATGGCGATTAGTTAGAGATTGAAGAAGCTCACATTTTGATCATAATATATATGAATTTCAGGTGATAAGGGCATATGCTGTTAACAAGCCTTGGGCGTTAGGATTTCTTATGGACATTTTTGGGGCTTTGTTGATGCTCAGAGCACTATCACTTGCGCCTGTAAGTAAAGTTTCCCAAGCTTCTTTTCAGATGCCAAGATAGTTTCCTTTGCTACTGATTAACCTTAGACACTGACTGTGAACTTTTGAAAACATGCTTGCTTCAGGTGTCTGTTGTTCAGCCAGTCTCGGGATGTGGGCTTGCCATTCTTTCCGTCTTTTCGCATTTCTATTTGAAGGAAGTCATGAATGTGTTTGACTGGATTGGGATTACTGTGGCCGGCATTGGCACCATAGGTAAGGTCAATCATTTTCAATACTTTGACCTGTGCTCACTATCATCTTCCGCACACTGTTATATGGTAAAGATATTATGATAGCGTCGAGAAACTCACCACCTATTATAATTCGAGGATTTGTCCGTTGGCCTGTAGGAGTTGGTGCTGGTGGTGAGGAGCAAGAAGCATCATTGATATCTGTCTTCCAGTTGCTGTGGCTAGCATTTGTTGTTGCCATCTTGTTTGTAGGTACCTTTCATCCATGGTATTTCATTAGAAAGTTGGCATCATCTCCCTTTATCTCATGTATATATCATATCCATATGTGCTTATTGGAAGTTGAAACAATTGGGTTTATATTTTAGTTTTCATCTATATCAGATAATATCACTGAATTCGTGTGGTAATTGCAATGTTTCTGATAACTTGTGTATTGAATTTTTGGGACAAAGGTACTACTTAATGCATGGCTTCATATCTATAAACTCCAGCGCAGGGAGCAGGAACTGGTATATTATCCTCTTAAGTGTCTAATTGTCTAGATTTTCGAGCAGTAGCACCTTTAATGTTTTTGTACTTTTGTTTCTGTTACCACATGCACTTAGGCCTAATTTTGGTTTGCAGGGGGAATATGAAGTGGTGGAAGAAATTATATATGGCTTGGAATCTGGGGTTTTATTCGGGTACCTTTCACTAGCCATAAATATCATAGAGCATATTTTTTTAGTCCATTTGCCGAGCCTCTGATATTTACTCATCATCATCTCCTATATATCCATTAACATGTGCTGTAATTCTAGAAACATATGAGGACCAATGTGCTGGTGTGTCTGCAGGAGAATTAGCAAAGAGATTAGAACTATATTTGAACTGTATTTTTAGCTTGTTACATAGCTGAAAACAGTTTATAACTCATTCGATCACAGGATGGCATCTGTAGTATCAAAGATGGGTTTTGTCTTCGTGGAGCAGGGGTTTTCTGCAATGTTCATTCCCATGTGCATTTCGATTAGCATATGCTGTAGTGGAACAGGGTTTTTCTACCAGGTACTTTGTCCGTGCTAGTCTGTTTCCACTTTGGTGTATAACATAAAGGATTTTCTACCTGTAGATTTTTTGTAGGTTGATAATCAGGTATACAGGTTCATCATGATTCTAGTCTTCTTTCTGTTTTTACTTTACCAGACTCGGGGACTAAAACATGGGAGAGCAATTGTAGTCTCCACTTGCGCTGCTGTGGCATCAATCGTAACAGGTGTGGTCGCGGGAATGTTTGCTCTTGGTGAGAAATTGCCCACTTCATCATCTGGGCGGCTTTTACTTCTCACGGGATGGTAATTTCTACTCACCAATTTCTCGTATTGTCAGTTTACTAGTTGAGACAACATCAGAGTAAATATCACTGACACATGAACCAACTGCAAATGCTATTCTGAATTACTGCCATTTAGCAATATACATAGGGCTAGATCACATCCTAGTGGTAGTAGTGGCAAAAGATCTCGCAAAAGAGACTTGTCCTTGTAGCAAGCACATTATGTGCATGAAGATAAGATCAACTAGCGAACTATAGTTTTTGATGATTGGAGACTCTTGAATTTTTTTTGCAGGCTATTTATCATGCTAGGTGTTGTGTTACTCGTGACTTCATCACGGCTTATCAGACATCTTCCACGATCATTCCGACGTTCCAGACAGACCAGCGTAGAAAGAGGTTTCAGTATAAGGCGGACAGCTTCTCACGTACCAAAGGATACAAACCCAAGTGCGGTTATCCAAGCAGCAACTTTACACCATCTCTTATCAACCCCATCAAAAGAGAAAGACTAAGGGATTCTGAAACACCAAACAAAATATTACATTGGGTTCCGTTTGCATTTACACAGTTTTTCTCCCGAATTTGTGACTTAAGGCGACAGATTTCGGGTTTAATCTGATTGATATTCAAGTTGTGAGAACAGTTAAAAGTAAGAGCTTGAGACGTAACTTGGTATCTGGAATGTGAAATATGACTTCCCTTTTGTGATGTTTCTCTAATTTTGCAAACTCTGAATTTTGGATATACACGAGCAATCGCATATCCTCATGAAGTCCAATTTGGTTTATAATATGTTATTTTATCGGTTGCTCTAAAACTCATTTGAATGATCTTGCGAGTTCTACCAAACCGGGGTATGGAACTTCGTGGTTTGCTGAGATGTTGCTATTTTTTCGGTTTAGTGGTTCTGATTCTGGTGTGGTATCGGTTCAAAGAGACCAGTATATGAAAGAAATGAAGCATCATTATTACGAACACGTTACCATTAAGGTCTAGATCACTGATGTTGCTCAATCATTCTCAACAATGTTGCCATAGTTAAGAGTTGAGTGGACATTATATTCGTGATTTTCGGTTCCGCTTGAATAGTGTTTTTTTTGGGTTGATTTGGTTAAGAGAAATCCATACCGAATTAGAATCAGCATTTTTCCGATAAATCTTTAACAAATCTTCGTGAATAAATTTATGTGGGAATCCGTACGTGATAAAGAGGTTTGCAGCAATAATCACGTTAATCCTTTATCAAAAACATCATTTTTTTTTGTATTTCTGAAAAAATAGTTTAGTTTGGTTTATAAAAGCTTTTGGGTTTGGTTTGGAGTAAAAACAACCAAAGATATTTATAAATATTACATATCGTAGTAATTCGTTTAGAACAATTTTAATATAGATTTTGGTTTATCCGGATCCGTTGCACAAAGTTCGATTTCTGGTCGAAATCATTAATTATTTGATTTATATATCTAAGCTCTAGCCCTATTTTTTTATATTTTATTTTTTAATAAAGGTTATTCAATTTAAATGCAAAGCTTAGAGATAAGAGAAATGAAAGAGATACACATAAAAAGTGAGATAATAGGAGAAAAAGATAAGGAAACAAATATGAGGATGATAAGACCATTATTAATGGTAATATTACCATTATTAATGGTAATATTCTTGGAGCATCATGTAGCGAAAAGAAAATTTTTTTTCTAAACTTTTGCGCAGAATTGTCTCATGGGAGAAAGACTCTTGAACACTCTTTGCCAGATGTCTCTATATTACTGATCC